CCCAAACTAGGCCGTTTTCCGACCTAATAGTGCCAGATATGGTATACGTGGGAGCCTCAAATTCATCCTGTGGGGCAACCTCAGAACCCATTTTTATCGTGAACTGTGCCTTTAAGACCTCACCTTAGTTGGTTTCGCGTGTCGTTACTGCTTAGTAATTGGGAATTCCAACTTACGTTACACTTGTTCCATCCCCTCCTATTCGTCATTTGCTCCGGTTCACATCATGATATTTGCTTCATGGTCAAATGATTATAATTCCAGTCATGCTTTGGAAACGCAATCTGATAGCGATGACGATTTATTGAAGCTTCATTTTTTTGGGAAATCGTAGAATATGGGAAAATGATCGACGGAGGAGACGTGTCCCAATTCGCGAAACATGGACGTTGGATATAGCAAAACATGCTGTTTTTTTCGACTGCTCACAAAGGCGACTTCCCGTGGAAGAGGAAAGTAAACATCGTCTGGGAAGCGTCAAGGCTTAACAACTATACAAGCAACGAAATTTTCATTCAGGAAGCCCAAAATATAGCGTTCAGCAAGACGACCGAAAGCAGTAGTGAATATTTTGTTGAATCATTAACTTTCCAAGTTTTGCTGATAAGCATTGCAAGCACTTGTAAAGCGGTAAGCGTAAATACTTCTTTTGGCTGTATTAAAGGCACAGTTCACGACAATTTTAATTTCGAGGTACCTTTTTTAGGTTGAAAAGCGGAAGTGTTGATGTAGAGCGGCAGAGAGAGCGAGAAAATCCGCTTACTTATAGGCAAGTGGTGGAATTGGAGGTTGTACGAGATCACCGTACGGGAATGGCATTAAGGTGTTCGGACGAGATTCCTGCTCCCATTGCGCAAAGAGATGACCAAATCAAGCCGAAATAGTCCGAATCTGCCTTTCACTGTCACCATGGGTTATGACCAGTTGTTTAAACTTCCTACAAGGGAGTCTTTTGAGATAGTGCACGCTCTACAAAGCCGCTGCAACTCGTCCACCATGGGTGTGGCATTAACACGATACAATCTCTGGCCCCTTATTATCCCCTATCCAGGACGTTTTTCGACCTTATAATGGCAGGTATGGTATCAAGGGGAGCCTCGAATCCATACTATAGGGGAATCTTAGGGACTATTTCAATCCTGAACTGTGCCTTTAAGTTCGCTAAGCTACGGGCAAACGCTAAACTCTTGCTAAGATAGCAGGGTTCGTACTAGTTCTTCCCAACTCGGAAAAGACGTCCAATAATAACTACATACTTCCAAGGCTTCAAAAAAGCACCCTTACTCCCGAAGAAAATCCGAAATGTTGGCATCTCACGAGTTTACGAATGTATTGAAACCGTACGACCCACTCGACTATCGACTCTGCAAAGCAAAGCAGTGTGTTCTACTAAAGTCAACCCACAGCGATAATCGGCGGTTCAAATTTCAGATATGCTATTCGTTTTTACTCTCACATTAGCCCCAAAACATTTTACCTTTCAATCAAACTACAGAAGATCTGCTCACTGCACCGTTTTGTGCTTATTTTTAGCAATGGGATTAATGAAGGGAGAACTGGTCAATAATTTGTTAGAGTTCATTGAAATTCATTGAATGGAGCGTGCTGGGATGGTTGAAACGTAATTGCTTTGGAAAGGAAATGTCATAAGAAGTTCAGACAAATGTACTTTCGTGGAAAAACACATTCATTAGGCATGCTATGAAAAGGAACTCAGTAGCAGAAGTTGAGAGAACATTTCACGAAAAAAAGTCATTGGAAAGTTCAAAAAAATTGCCTTCATCCAAATTTTGAACCTTGTCCGAGCCGCTCTCATGTGTGGGTGTAATTGACCTTCCAGGGAACTACTGCCATTGAAAGGAACTCTGAAGGGCCGTCGATTTCTGGGAGAACATCGCTTTTAGTAGGCATAACAAAGGATTAGAATGATTATCGCAGTGTGAAACCTTCGCAGAGGGGGCTTTGTTCCGCAGTACCCCGACTGGCGCAGCGAACTGACCTCCCATTTCTAGAGAACCTCAAGACTGTTATTATCTCCGAAGATGCATGATTTGTAGGTGTTTCGACATATTGCTTCAGCCAAGTGCTGCGTTAACAGATAGGGATGTGGAAGTCTCAAAACGACGGCGAGTTATGGCAAAACCTTTGACTTTGGATGGGCTCAAACTTATGGCCTTAATATCCAAGTGTTAAATCCGAAAAGAGGCTTTGAAAAAATTCTTTCATTGCTAGTTTGTAAACGATCAACAGAAACTACACGCTTCGA